AGGCAATTGGATATTCCCTGGATCAACTTTACCTATAAATGTTAATCGGTTATATTCTGTGTATCCAAGAAAGAATCCAGGCATTTTTTTAAAGCAGTCCACTGGGTTGGCCAGAACGAACTCTTGAGGTAGTCTATTCCACATTTTCACAGCTCCTACTGTGAAGAAACATTTCTGTATTTGGAGATTAAATTTATTTTCCTCCAGACGTAAAGAGTGCCCCCTTGTCCTCTGTGATGATCTCAAGATGAATAACTCTACACTGAGTTCACTATATGAACCCACTGTTGTATTTTTACTTGTTGCACTTCTGTGTACTTTCTTCAGTTACCCATTGTTCTTTTGTGAATTGGTGCTCAAAATTGAACTGCATCTTCCAGATGAGGTCTTACTAATGATTTGTACAAAGGTAAAATGATCTCTCTCTCTCTCTCTCATCTATACCTCTTTCAATACAAGAGGATTTTGCTCACTTTAGAAACCGCAGCTTGGCATTGCATGCCATTATTAAGCTTATGATCTGTAAGAACTCCTAGATCCTTCTCCATTGATTTCCCCAGTTGTACGTCCCCTAGTATGTATGATGCATGCATATTCTTAGCCCCCAAGTGCATAACCTTACATTTATCAACATTAAACCTCATTTGCCACATAGGTGCCCAATTAAACATTGCATTGAGGTCGGCTTGTAAGTTGAAGACCTCCTGTAAGGATGTTATTCCACTGCACAGCTTGGTCTCATCTGCAAAGACTGAAATGGTACTTTTAATCCCAGATCCTATATCGTTTAAATATATTAAAAAGTAAGGGTCCCAACACTGAACCTTGGGGTACACCACTGACAACCCTAGACCATTCAGAGTATGAATCATTACCTACTATTCTCTGAATATGATCTTTTATCCAGTTTTCTATTCATTTACATACAAATTTTTCCAAGCATGTAGACTTTACCTTACATATTAGCAGTGTTGAAAACTGTGTCAAACTCTTTTGCAAAATCCACGGGACCGAGGGACACATAGATGGCTGTTTTTTAAAAGTCAATAGCTACAGTTTTTGTAGCTACTGACTTATTTTTTGACATGGTGAGTGGAACTCTGCTTTAAGCTTAAAGAGCTGTTCCAGTCTCCCCCTCCCTCAAAAAAAAATAAGTCAGCCTCTACAAATACTATAGCTGTTGACTTTTAATATAAGGAAACTTACTTGCCCGGGGATCCTCAACCGAGCCCATTCTTCAATCAGCTTCTGGTGCAGGTGGCATATTGGGTAAGGAAAACCAGCAGTGAAACCCTCCAGCTTCTGAGCCAGTTTACTATTGTGTATGTGGGAGCTGCGCTGCCCTTTGTGAATGTTCCTGCAGTCTTCTGGGACCTGTGATGTGTCCCAGAAGGCTGCGGAGGGAGCTGAACTTCCACATAGTTTACTTTGACAATTTCACTGGAAGTGAGAGCTGGTACCTTTCCAGGTACAAGCAAAATTTTCCATTTTTGGTGAAGTTCCACTCTAAGCATTTTTACAATGCATTTTTCCTTGCATTGAGGTAAAAAATGTTTAGGTAACAGTATCTCCTCCTCACTCCCCATAATACTTACCTGAGTCTTCACTCAATCCAGCGCTATGCTTGTCTGCAGCAAATCTTTCCTCTCACTTCCTGGTCTCACAGAGTTTGCTAAGGCAGTGGGAAATTGCTTTTCATTCCTTGGATGGTGTTAGGGTGTCCAGGCAAGAGAAACATCGCTCTAGGTAAGTGTTCTTGTTATGCTTCTATGCAAGGGCTCTCCACCATGTACACCGAAGGGAAGAAATAATGACTGCACACCACAGTGGGACCCAATCCAAGCAAAGTTTATTTCAACGATGTTTGGCAGACAGCACAAGGACACACAAACTGTTGGCACCTTTCACACAATCAAGTGCTAACTCATAACGCTGTTAGGGCAATTTAGGATTTTCTTAAAGTGATTGTAAAGTTATTTTTTTAATAGCCTGTCATACTTACCTGTTCTGTGACGTGGTTTTGCATAGGGCAGGCCGATTATCCTCTTCTGAGGTCCCTTGCTCTGGGCTCCTTTTCTTCTCCTTGTGCCACCAAAGGAAGCTGCTTGCTATGGTAGCACACGTGCAGGCTTGATTCCGAACCATGTTCTATGTGTTTTTTTGACACACTGTGCGACTCGGCCCTGAACCCCCATCGCTGGACTTGTATAACAGGAGCAGTAGCCAATGGCTCCTGCTGCTCTCACCGAGCCCAGTGAGGAAGCAGAGCAGTGCCGGATCAAGATACAGGTAATTATTTGGGGGGTGGAGGGAGCTGACAAGAGAAGGTTAAACCTTTAAAGTATATATAAACCCCCACCTTGTAAAACAACCCATTCAGAAAGACAAAACATTTGTATATACATATGAAAAAAGGAAAAAAGTGTTTAGAATATTTTTTAAACCGTAATCACATAATCTCTGGTCTCTTCACTGTAAGGAGCTAGGGGAGGAGAAGCAGCAGTACATTTGTCTTCCCAGTGAATGAGTGTGCAGGGGGGGGGGGGGGGGGGGAGTGTGTCAGGACAAGTCTTATCATTGGAGGAGAGCAGACTGAGTTCCCAGGACAGTGAGCATGCTGTGCTCTTCTTCCTAGTGTAGTCACTTTTTAATAGGAAAGCAGAGGTAATGTTAGGAACACAAGGTATTTCACACAAAGGAAGCAATACAAAGAGAATAGTATACTTTTTCATACAAGTACAGTTGCAATAAAAAGTATGTGAACCCCTTGGGATTACGTGGAGTTTTGCATGAATTAGGCATAAAATGTGCTCTGAACGTCATTTAAGTCACAACAATAGAAGAACACAGTCTGCTGAACATAATACTACACAAACATTAGATGTGGCCATGGTTGCATAACATGTAAACATTCACAGTGCAGGGAGGAAAAAGTATGTGGGGCCCTAGCCTAATGACTTCTCCTAGAGCTAATTGGAGCCAGGAGTGAGCCAACCTTGACTCCAATCAGTGGGATGATATTGGATGTGTTGCTGACAGCTGTCCTGCCCTTAAAAAACACACACCTGTTTTGGGTTTACTGGTTTCAAGAAGCATTGTCTGATGTGAACCATGCCTCGCAGAAAAGAGCTCTCAGAAGACCTACGATCAAGAATTGTTGACTTGCATGAAGCTGGAAAGGGTTACAAAAGTATCTCCAAAAGCCTTGATGTTCATGTGTCCACAGTAAGACAGACTGTCTACAAATGGAGAAATTTTAGCACTGTTGCTACTCTCCCTAGGCATGGTCGTCCTGTAAAAATGACTGCAAGAGCACAGCGCAGAATGCTGCATGAGGTAAAGAAGAATCCCAGAGTGTCAGTTAAAGACCTACAGAAATCTCTGGCACATACTAACATTTTTGTTGACACATCTACAATAAGGAAAACATTAAACAAGAATGGAGTACATAGGAGGACACCACGGAGGAAGCCATTGCTGTCCAAAAAGAACATTGCAGCACGTTTGAAGTTTGCAAAAGAGCACCTGGATGTTCCACAGCACTACTGGCAAAATATACTGTGGACAGATGAAACCAAGATTGAGTTGTTTGGGAAGAACACACAACACTGTGTGGAGAAAAAAAGGCACAGCACACCAACATCAAAACCTCATCCCCACTGTAAAACATGGTGGAGGGAGCATCATGGTTTGGGGCTGCTTTGCTGCCTCAGGGCCTGGACGGATTGTTGTCATTGATGGGAAAATGAATTCCAGAGTTTATCAAGACATTTTGCAGGAAAACGTTCGACCATCTGTCCGCCAACAGAAGCTCCGCAGAGGATGGGTGATGCAACAGGACAATGACCCAAAGCATACAAGTAATTCAACAAAACAATGGCTGCAACAGCACAGAATACGCCTTCTGGAGTTGCCCAGTCAGAGTCCTGACTCAACCCGATTGAAATGCTGTGGCATGACCTTAAGAGAGCGATTCACACCAGACATCCCAAGAATATTGCTACACTGAAAGAGTTTTGTGAAGAGGAGTGATCCAAAATTACTCCAGATCGTTGTGCAGGTCTGATCCGCAACTACAGGAAATGTTTGGTTGAGGTTATTGCTGCCAAAGGAGGGGTCAACCAGTTAAGTCCAAAGGTTTACATAGTTTTTCCTCCCTGCACTGTGAATGTTTACATGTTATGTGCAATTAAACCATGGCAACATCTAATGTTTGTGTAGTATTATGTTAAGCAGACTGTGTTCTTCTATTGTGACTTAGATGACGTTCAGAGCACATTTTATGCCCAATTCATGCAAAACTCCACGTAATCCCAAGGGGTTCACATACTTTTTCTTGAAACTGTACATGGTACAGCAGGCATAGATCAAGAATATGAAATGTTCGGTTAACATATTCTTTAATGCTTAAAATTAATTTTAAGACGCACTGGAGTGGTTAAAAACTAAACCCTGAATGTCTTACAATGAAGTAACTGAGGTTCTGTAGTGAAACGTAAAAGATCATTTTCACCAACATTCTCTGTCCAGCTTGACTGAGTTTTTAAGCAACTTTGTAAATGTAGATCCTGCAGTTTTGGATCATCATTTTGGACTAACATGTAGGAGTCCCACCTAAAAAAAAAAAATCTGTGGCAGAAATTCCATGTCTACCTCCGGTATCATTAAAAGATATTTACCATTTGCACTGCAGAATACTAAAAGCAGTATTAAATTCCAAAGCAAACATAATATTGCAGCTTATGAATTCTTACATGTTATGGCTGCATTAGTTTTATTTTTTTAGACTTTTTTCATTTTTCACCTAGTGGTCCTGCCAGTAAGTCTGTTTTTTTCCCAACAGAATAAGCGCTAAAGTGCTAAATATCCTAATTAAATCTTTTAAATTCAAGTTTGTCATACTAGAAAATGTAGAATGTGTCTACATATATATTGTATACATGTTTTTGTTTTCAGTGGTGCATTGTAAATGCTTGGACATTAATATCTGTTTATTGCAGATGGAGCATAATGTCATATGAGCTGAAATTACCATCAAAGACATCTATCCTCCCCATATCCCCAGAAGAGGAGTCTGAAGAGGTTGGTATCAGCTGTTCTGCCAACAATACACTGGGTGAAAGTGAACTTGTTGTTATCACAGAACTTTTAAACTTGCTGAAATTGTTGAGCCCAGTACCAAAGTGAAACTGTACTTTTGCTCATGCAAAGCAAATGGTTCACTTTATTACCTGCATATGGTTAGCATCCCTTCGTTCTCCTTCCACTCCAATCCCCTGCATAATACCACAAGTAATGAATTGGAGTTTGTACAGGTCTGAATACATGGAAGGACGAATGAGTAATGCGCTCCTCTCTTATGTAAGCAAAGTGAAGGTGAGTAATAGATGCAGCAGGTGGCAGTATTAGAGCAAAGCACAGGTTAACTATGAAGCATGTGCCACAGATGACATCTGTTTAAGAATGCTTTAACCCCCCATAAGGTTTTTCTTTTATCTTTTTCCGATGCGCACTTCATTGGTGCCAAAGGATCAAAGGGCTATTGGTTGAGAATCTCAAGTTTTACTAGTAAAATTTATATGTAAGGTCTCCCACAAGCTTCTCCATTTAAGTATTCCAGACATTCTACAGTATATTTTTACATCTTACGTTTTAGACACTGCTACTTCAGTGATCTCTGCTTGCTTCTGGGTTCCGTGCTGAGCAGCCGGCACGATGCATTGAGAACATAGGAGGTCGGCTGCTCAGAACTGGCACCATTCAGAGACTTCTGTGCATTTTCTGAATGAATGCAAAGCATTCTCTGATTGGACGAGGTGGGGAGTGTGATGTCACTGCCCCTTTTTTTTTATTTTGTCCAATCAGAGAATGCTTTGCATTCATTCTGAAAATGCAAAGCATTCTCTGGATGGCATCTGTGATGAGCAGCAGATCTCCTGGGCCCAGAAACAAGTGGGAGATTGTGGTGGTGTCTACTTCAGTGACTTCCAACTTAAAGGGCCATTGGTAAAGTATGGTAAATACAATGGGGAAAATAATTATTTGATCCCCTGCAGATTTTGTAAGTTTGCCCACTTACATAGAAATGAAGGGTCTATAATTTTTAACATACCGTATATACTCGAGTATAAGCCGAGTTTTTCAGCACATTTTTTGTGCTGAAAAACGGCCCTCTCGGCTTATACTCGAGTCAACATCTGCAGATAGTGGGGGCGCGTACAGGGGTGGGCAGAGGGCTGCTGTCTCTTACCTGGCTCCGGTCCCACGATGATCCATCCAGGAAGCGCTGCTCCTTCCGTCACTGCGGCCACTCCCTCACTCCTGCCGCTCGGCTCCGCCTGCTCACCGGTGATTGGCCGCCAGAAACTGTAGCTCAGGAAAGGTACACAGGCGGCCAATCACGGGTGAGGAGGCGGAGCTGAGCGGACCCACGAAAATCGAATGAGGAAAAAGCCGGTAAGTGTGCAGTGCAGAGGTGCTGCTGCCACCACATATGCTGGCTGCAGCAGCACCATACTGCAACAGGGGTCAGCAAGTGTCATTGGTGTCAGTGGGAGGAATAGTGCCGCATCATTGGTATCACTGATACTAATGATGGGGCATTATTCCTCCCACTGACACCAACGATGGGGCACTATTCCTCCCACTGACACCAATGATGGGGCACTATTCCTCCCACTGATACTAATGATGGGGCACTATTCCTCCCACTGACACCAACGATGGGGCACTATTCCTCCCACTGACACCAATGATGGGGCACTATTCCTCCCACTGACACCAATGATGGGGCACTATTCCTCCCACTGATACTAATGATGGGGCATTATTCCTCCCACTGACACCAATGATGGGGCACTATTCCTCCCACTGACACCAATGATGGGGCACTATTCCTCCCACTGATACTAATGATGGGGCACTATTCCTCCCACTGACACCAACGATGGGGCACTATTCCTCCCACTGACACCAATGATGGGGTACTATTCCTCCCACTGACACCAATGATGGGGCACTATTCCTCCCACTGACACCAATGATGGGGCACTATTTCCTCCCACTGACACCAATGATGGGGCACTATTCCTCCCACTGACACCAATGATGGGGCACTATTCCTTCCACTGATACGAATGATGGGGCATTATTCCTCCCACTGACACCAATGATGGGGCACTATTCCTCCCATTGATACCAATGATGGGGCACTATTCCTCCCACTGACACCAATGATGGGGCACTATTCCTCCCATTGATACCAATGATGGGGCACTATTCCTCCCACTGACACCAACGATGGGGCACTATTCCTCCCACTGATACCAATGATGGGGCATTATTCCTCCCACTGACACCAACGATGGGGCACTATTCCTCCCAGTGATACCAATGATGGGGCACTATTCCTCCCACTGACACCAACGATGGGGCACTATTCCTCCCAGTGATACCAATGATGGGGCACTATTCCTCCCACTGACACCAATGATGGGGCACTATTTTTCCCACTGACACCAATTTTTTACATTGACTAGTAGGTGCCTCATTTCCCACCCTCGGCTTATACTCGAGTCAATAGTTTTTCCCAGTTTTTTGTGGTAAAATTAGGTACCTCGGCTTATATTCGGGTCGGCTTATACTCGAGTATATACGGTATGTGTTCTTTAAATGATAGACAGAACATCAACCAAAAATCCAGAAAAAGCACAATACATATGCAATAAATTGAGTTTCAGTTCAGTGAGTAAAATAAGTATTTGATCCCCTACCAACCAACAGTAATTCTGGCTACCACAGACTGGCTATGTGCTCATGTGGTACACAGATTAGTGATGTCAATTTAAGAAGGCGCTCCTAATGACAGCTCGTTATGTGTATAAAAGACACCTGTCCACAGAATCTTTCTTCCATTCAAACCTCACCACCATGGGCCAAAGACCAAAGAGCTGTTAAAGGACATCAGGGACAAGATTGTAGACCTGCACAAGGCTAGAATGGGCTTCAAGACCATCAGCAAGAAGTTTGGTGAGAAGGAGATAACTGTTGAAGCGATTATTTGCAAATGGAAGAAATACAAAATAACCATCAATCGCCCTTGGTCTGGAGCTCCATGCAAGATTTCGCCTCATGTGGTAAGGATGTTCATGAGAAAAGTGAGCGATCAGCCCAGAACTACACAGGAGGAGCTTGTAATTGATCTCAAAGCAGTTGGGACTACAGTCACCAAACAAACCATTGATAACACAATACGCCGCCATGGATTGAAATCCTGCAGTCCTGCAAGGTCCACTCCTTAAGAAGGCACATGTACAGGCCTGTCTGAAGTTTGCCAATAAACATCTAAATGATTTGGAGAAGGATTGGGAGAAGTCCTGTGGTCAGATGAGACCAAAATTGAGTTCTTTGGCATTAACATGACTCGCCGTGCTTGAGGAAGAAAATGCTGACTGTGACCCTAAGAACACCATCCCTACAGTCAAGCACAGAGGTGGAAACCGTATGCTTTGGGGCTGTTTCTCTGCTAAAGGTACAGGCCAACTTTGCTGCATTGAGGGGCCAATAGACTGGGCCAAATATTGTAAAATCTTGGATGAGAACCTTCTTCCCTCAGCCAGAACACTGAAGATGGGTCAAGGATGGGTCCTCCAGCATGACAATGACCCAAAACATACCGCCAAGGCAACAAAGGAGTGGCTCAAGAAGAAACACATTAAGGTCATGGCGTGGCCAGTCTCTAGACCTTAATCCTATAGAAAATTTATGTAGGGAGTAAACCTTAAGGATTTATAGAGAAGATCTTTAAAGAAGAATGGACCAAAATCCCTCCTGAGATGTGTGCAAACCTGGTAACCAACTACAAGAAATGTCTTACCTCTGTGCTTACCAGCAAGGGTTTCTCCACCAAGTACTAAGTCATGTTTTGCTTGTGGATCAAATACTTATTTTACTCACTGAACTGCAACTCAATTTCTAACATTTGTATCATGTATTTTTTCCAGATTTTTGGTTGATATTCTGTCTTTATGATTTAAAATACAGCTATGATAAAAGTTATAGACCCTTCATTTCCTTGGAACTGGGAAAACTTACAAAATATTCAGGGGATCAGATAATTTCCCCACTGTACATGGTTACATTGGTTCAAGTTGGACCAATGTAACTATGTAAAATAAATACCATTCTGGGAATTAATCTTTAAAGGACTGTCTGCAATAGAGCATTTTATTTTTTGTGGTCTGTGCATTTTCCAGCATAGGCAAAATACAAAAAAAAAAAAAATCCTGTATGATTTTAGGATTGTCCTTAACATTTACTGTGTACTTCTGATGAAAAATGCCTAGGCACATCATTCAAGTCCAGCTCCCACACGCAGCTTGTCTTTCCACATGTTCATTTTTAAAAAATTTGTTTAATAGACCAATGCAGACAGATAAAATTGCACCTTTTCTCTAGTTTCAGATATCTGCGTATGAAGACTCGGTGGCAACCCATCTGGCTAAGATTCTGAATTCAGACAAGCATTCAGTAGTCATATCCTCTGCAAAGTGAGTAATTGTGCACGCTACCATCTCAGGCACTGAATTGGGATTCTGTATTTTTTTTCCCCCGGGTTTATAAAGGAATTATGCTGTTGGAAGTTTAATTTTGCTTGTATTTTTAAAGAATGTAATGTTCAACGTGGTTATGGAAAGAAGTGTTTTTTAGGTTTGGCACACAATCATGAAATTATTGTACAGATTTTGTACGAATAGGCCTTGATACGTATGTACATACATAGTGCAGAGCATCTCATTGCATAAATGTGTGCAATGAAGAGATGTTGAATTCCTATCGCCCGACGCCCGGGACATGCAGTTCTGGGCGCTGAGCAAGAAGTTTTTTTTTCTTATACATTTAGCCCTGCTGTGGGCAAGCAGCAGGGTTTAGAGCCAACGGTCGACTCTTGTAAAAGTGGTCCAAGCGGCTCCAGAGAAGTGGGGAGGTGTCCCCTCCCGCTGCTTTCTGCAGTCTGTCCGGACATCTGTGGAACCCCCCTCCCACTTGGCGGAGGCATGCTTCGGTCCGGTGTCTCCCACCCACCCTACTGCTGCCCATTGGTAGAGAGCACCACCAGTCAGAGCCAGGTGTTCTCCGTGTCCAGCAGCTCAGGATAAGAACACTGTCAGGGCCAGGCAGCCATACAGAGAACACCTGGCCCTGACTGGCCTCTCCGCCAATGGGCAGCGAAGGGGGGGCGGGACTGGCCCAGTGAGAGGCAGCCTTTAAAAAAAAAAAAAAAAAAAAATGTTTATTTAGATTTTCTATTTTCATTTATTGTAGTAGTTGTGTGTGTATGTGTATATAATGTATTTTTTTTAAATTATATATCTTTTATTTCTGAATTTGTATTTTATTTTGTTTAGTCTTTTTTAATAATTGTTTATTATTGATTGTTATCTGCAGATTATTTTATGTATTAAATTATTTTTTTTTATAAAATATTTCTATTTTTATTTATAATTGCATTTATTTTGTTTTTTTTATTTTTTATTTGCATTTATTTTTGTTGTAATCTGATTATTGTTATCTGCAGATATTTATTTATTTCAGGTACTTGTATAGCGCTGTCAAAGATATATATATTTTTATTGTTAAAATGTTTTATTTAAATATATATATATATATATATATTTGTTGGTAATATCATCCAATTATTATGCGCAGATTATTATATATTTTTTTTATTTAATTTATTTACCTTTTTTATTTGATTTTTATTTACATTTTTTATTTTTGTTATTATTCAGTTGTTATCTGCAGCCTTGTACTGTCAGAATCCCATCCACTGGGAGAGAGGAGAGAGCCTGTCCAATCCGGGACATCCAAACAGCCAGGCAGTGCTTCTGCTGGCTGATCATAGAGGTGGACAAAGACCAGCACCACTCTGTCCGTCTCTATGATATAGGAAACGGGAAACTATGAGCATACATCAGCGCCATTTTTAAAAATGGAAAGCATTTGATCACACCGATCTTGGTGTGATCAAATGCTTTTAAGGGCAGAGGATGGACATAGGGTCTTATTGACTCAATATCTCTCCAGAAAAAGTACCTAACACTGCCTCTTGCTGTCACAGGGGATGTTTACCTTACTCATGACAGCAATAAAAGCAATTAAAAAAAATTAAAGCCAGTGTCAAAATAAATACATTTTTTTTCTTAAATTGTTAAAAGTACCCCTGTCCCTCCGTGCTAGCGCACAAAAATGAATGCATACGTCAGTTTTGCATGCATTCAATCAGCGATTGTCACACACACGTGAGGTATCCACGTGCACATCAGATCGAGGGCAGTCATTTTAGCAACAGACCTCCTGTGTAAATCTAAAGTGGTAACTTGTAAAGCTTTTAAAGCATCACCCATGGATAGTAAAATGTACGCCGTTTGTTGCCATTGCATGGGCGTGTGCAATTTTACAGGGTAACATGTTTGATATCTTGGTACTTGGCGTAAAATCTTTTATATTTTACCCAGAAAAAAAAATGGGTCTTGTATTGTGTTTTTTTGCAATTAAATTCCAAAAAGTGTATTAAAGAAAATAAAAATTGTGTTTGAAAAACTGCTGTGCAAATGCCATGTGACATAAAAAAAATTGCAAAACCTACCAATTCTTTAGGGCCTCCGCTTTAAAGAAAAATGTTTGGGATTCTAAGAAATTTTCTAGCAAAAAATAAAGTTTGTCGCCTTACAACCCCTTTCATTTTTAAAAAGCCTTAGACATTCCTAAAAACACCTCTGCCTTAAAAAATAAAAAAAAAAAAAAAAAAAAATTAAAAAAAATCAACCCTTTTGTATTTTCCATTCTGAGAAATTTTTTTTTTTTTTTTTTTTTTTTTTTCGAAGTAGATTGTATTGAGGGATGAGTAGATTGGGACCTTGATTAAGTCCCATGAACAAGTACTTTTTTAAACAATTTCCACACCCCTGCAATGTATGCAGTCCTTATCGGCACTTTATATTCCTAATATTGAAATTATGGCATTGTCTAAATATAATGCACTGCATTCTTGAATGTACCCTATAGCCCTGGTGACTAACACTTTGCCCATGGAACACATACTGTCTGTGCAGCCAGCTAAGCATTGGGCATTCAGTAGAGTGGCATCAGGATGCAGGTGCTGGGACACTTTCCGTCTTTCCACATCTTGGTCTGAAATAAAACCAGTACTGTAATGTGTCATGATCTCCACCTGACATTGGATGTATAGTCCCAGCCTGATGTCACCAGGGAGAAGGTGTAAAAACTGCTGGGGATGGGAGTTAACAGCACTTCCACTAACAATCAGTGCAGTGGATGGGGGGGAAACAGTACAGCCAATTACCTGACCATGAATGTAGGGAGGGGGTTAAGGGTAGGTGGGGAGGGTTTTGGTTGACAGCATTGCCACTGACTATCATTGAAGGGAGTTATTACTTCAGTCACTGACACCAAACCTGGGAGTTATTACTTTCACCAACCTTTATACTGAAGGTTATTATTATGGGGACTGACACCAATGCTGGGGGTTGTTGTAGTCACTGACACCAGTGTTGATTGTCATTTTTGTGGTCACAGAACACCACTGCTAGGGGTTGATATTGTGGTCACTGACACCATATTGTGGGTTTTTATTGCATTTACTGACCCCAGTGCTGGAAGCAGTTATTGTGGCCACTGACACCATTCTGGGCATTGAGGCGCATTATAGCAGTTATTTTTTTGCAAAATGTATCTTAAAGCATTAAAACAAGCTGCTATTGTGCAGCCCTCTAGAATTGTTGTGTGGACAGCACTTGAGGCCTTCTATAAATTTCAAGCTGACCACCACTGCCTGAGAGGCTCCCAGTTTAGAGGCTGCTTCCTGATTCTTCATTCAAAGTCGTTTGAAGTCGCAGAATAAGCTATATTGCTGAATCTATTCCTTATAGAAAAATGTGTGTAGAGCAATGCAGATTGGAACTTTAAGGGCTCAGTTACGCATCTGCAGTAGATCACTTTTCAGAGGGCAGTAGAGAAGTGCCACAATGGTGAGCCATGTGTTTGGCTTGCAGTTGTGGTGCGGCCACATTCACTTGAGTGGATGACTTTTGTCGGCGGTTCTGTCTGCCAAAATCTGAAATGCTGTATAATTTTTGCCACATGGCAAAGCATAGTTGCTGGGGCAATTTGTTCTACCTTGTCTGGTTTTGGTGGGCGATCAAGGAGGGGTAAAAACACAAATCAACTACCTGTTACTGCTCCTCAGCTGCCCATGTGAACAAAGCCTTAGCAACTTTTGTTTCCTCCTTCAGGGTGTTGTGTGAGACCGTGAAAGACTTTGTGGCAAAAGTTGGGAAAACCTATGAAAAGCCAATGGAAAACGCAGAAGAGGCAGAAGCAATGGCAGTTAAGGTAACGGTTATCTTGTATTTTAAAATAAAAGCTATTTAATGCCGCCTGTAGGCATTTTAGATTTTAAGTAAATTAAAGCCTAAATTTAGTCATAAAATTATTAGCACAATTATTCCAGTGTGTCCCTTGTGCTGCTGGTTCTGGCTTTCCTTAACCACTTGCCTACCAGGCACTTATACCCCCTTCCTTACCAGGCCAATTTTCAGCTTTCAGCGCTGCCGCACTTTGATTGACAATTGCGCCGTCATGCAACATTGTACCCATATGAAATTTTGATCATTTTTTTCTCACAAATAGAGCTTTCTTTTGGTGGTATTTAATCGCCACTGGGCGCTTTACTTTTTGCGCTATAAATTAAAAAAAGTTTTTCTTCACTGATTTGCGTTGATGAGGCGGCACTGATGGGCACTGATAGGCGGCACTGATAGGCAGCACTAAAGGGCACTGATAGGCAGTACTAATGAGGTGGCACGGATAGGCGGCACTGATAGACAGCACTAATTAGGGGTCACGGATAGGCGGCACTGATATGCAGCACTGATAGGCGGCACTGATAGGTGACACCGATTATGGGTACTGATAGACGGCACTGACTGGCATCACTTCTGGGCACTGACTGGCGGCACTGACTGGCACAACCCCTGGGCACTGACTGGTGGCACTGACTGGCAGCACTGCTGGGCTGCACTGGTGGGCACCACTGGTGGGTGGGCACAGGTGGGTGGCACTGGTGGGCACAGGTGGGTGGCACTGGTGGGCACAGGTGGGTGGCACTGCTGGCACATGTAGGTGGCACTTCTGGGCACAGGTAGGTGGCACTGCAGAGTGGCACAGGTGGGGGCACTGCTGGGCACAGGTGGGGGCACTGCTGGGCATGGGTGGGCGGGGCTAGTGGGCGCACTGCTGGGAGGAACTTGCGGGGGTCACTGCTGGGCACCGATCATCAGGGCACTGATCATCAGTGCCCTGATGATCGGTGCCGATCCCCGCTCTGACAACTGCCGGTTCTCGGCAGTACTTTCCTCACGATCTGACAGCGTGAGGAAAGTGCAGCCGAGAACCGGTACTTGCATTTTCCTGTGATCAGCGTGTCATTGGACACCGCTGATCACGTGGTAAAAGGCCGGTGGGATCGGCCTTTCACCACATCTCGTGATCAGCTGTGTCCGTAGGACACAGCGATCACGGAGATCGCCGGGTGCGCGCCCCCTGGGGCGCGCAGGAGAGCGCGTTCTGGGAGGACGTCATATGACGTCCACCCAGAACTAGCCGGCCGCGGTGCAGCCGTCATTCGGCTATGCGCGGTCGGCAAGTGGTTAAACTCTTCTTCATCCTCCAACCCTCACCCCCGCTACCATAATCTTCCAGTGCAGTAGAGGTTATTAGAACTAAGAGAGCTGTGACAGGGACTTATCAAGAAGCTGTACTATAGCTTCAGTTAGAAAAATGACCTCTGAATGAAGGAGGGGGTGAATCTTTCAATCACCTGCCTGTTCTCCATTCATAGATCACATTTCATTCATAGAAGCTATGGCACAGCTTTCATGGAGGAACTGGGTGTAAAAGCCCTGCCCGGCTGTTGTGAAAGGAACTCATCATACCTGCCCGTATGATGAGTTCCTTTCACAACACCCGAAGCTCTTTTAAACCCACATGACACCTTAAGATTACAGAATGATTGGGGGGAGGGAGAGGTTTGACGATGAAGGTTTCAAGAAAAGGAGCCAGCAACCCAAGGGACATTTGTAAGTCTCCCATAGATGAGTTGTCAGCAATTAGGACCAAACCTCTTTAGATTTACTACAGTTGTAAAATTCAAAACATCCTTAGGTACAACCAGCCTGTCAGACTTCTTACATGCAGTTCCTGCTGGTGGCTATAGCCACTAAAAATAATCATTTAGTTCTGCTGGTAGGGTTGGCTCCTGGCCAGCAGAACACAATAGCGCTGAGGGAGGCATTCCTCCATCAACACTGACTGTGTGTTGATGGGAGAATAGAGCAAATTTCTTTCCTTCCACCCACGGTGGAAGGAAAGCTAATCAGATAATCTAAGGTTTGCTTATGAAGTCTGTGATTTGCTTATTGCAGTAAATTTTTACTAAAGTGCTCACATTCTTTGTGCCAGCTGAACAGTGACTACATCCTGTCAGATGCAGTCGCTGTATGGGTATTTAAGCAGCTGTGAATACTACAACTTCTTAAATACAAATAGCAGACAGTGCAGAATTCTTCATCCACACTAAACCGAAATCTACTAATTTCCTGTTTTGCAGCCCAAATGTGAGTAAATGAAAGACATCTAGTCTTGTATATACAGTAGGTACTAGTGGAACTTTTGCAGATGTAATATTTGTCTAGTCTCTCCAGCCAGTCATTATCTGTTTGTATTTCTAGTGTTCGACATTGAATGAAAAGCTTGATCTGCTACTTCAGACTCTCCATGCTGAAGCGCAAGCCACTCCATTGTTGACACACTTAACACCACCAATTGTTGAGGAAGAGGTGGAGGAGGAATTCTCAAGTGAAGACTCTCTATCTGAGAGCAAGGAGCATTTAGCAGACAGCATTGCAAAGTCTTCCACGGCAAAGCTCTTTAAGCCACGGGAGCAGCTCATGTTGCGAGCCAACAGCTTAAAAAAAGCAGTCAGGCAAATCATAGAACAAGCTGAAAAAGGTGGGTGGTTTGTTGTGTCTTGTATCAAAATTGAAATGTGTCACACTGTCTGTTAATGTATTTTAAACTACAGTAATCCTGGTGTAGTCACCAGGATTTTTTTCTTTTTAAATCGGTTACTCCTACTAGAACAGGTCCTTGTGATAATTCTTTTCTATTGATGGCCATTCCAGAATGTATATACTGTACATGCTAAACTGTATACCAGAAAGAAATATCATTTTTAGATACATACTGTATATCCCATGTCATTTCTTTGTGTCCACAGTTCCTTCCCTTGGCTCAATTTATAAGCAATACATTACTGTACAACTGCGGTATTCTATAGTAAACCGATTCAGCCCCACCAAAATTGAAATGTTATTTGTGGTTATTACTGAAAAGAAGTTTTCCTTTTATCTACGCATGTTTTTTTTTTTAACCACTTGCGTGATTTCTTTCACGATATAATTTGAATTTCCAGTGCTGACAAAAGAGGTCTTGTTTTTTTTATATCCTGTAAAAAGTGCTTGTGTGAACCCTACATGGCTTTGCTCAGGGTGTGTCAAGGTTAAATGCTTCATCCTGTCTCAACAGCACAATTGCATCTGATGCTCTATATTTTTATTGCCTGAGAAAATAGGGTTTGGCTTGATTAGGTTTTGACATGTTGCAGTATTTCAGTCACGTTAACACCACTATATAAAATATAATGACCTGATAAGATGTTTTGTCCTTTTAGTGGTGGATGAGCAAAATGCGCACACTGAGGAACAAGAGAACCAGGCTGCAGAAGAGTACAGAAAAGAGTTAGAAGAATCAAAAGAAGAGGAGAAAGATGAGGACACCAGGGAATTTGATAGCTCATCAGGTAAGTTTAGTGGCTGTAAATTGTGAATTCTACATATTAGGCATTGATATAAGTATTGCTTTTACTACAGAAGGAAGAAGTCTTGTAAACTCCACCCACTCATTCAACTCTGTATAAATTAAATCCAGCTTGACATAAGCTGCATTTCAGTCAGCTGGGCTGCACTTAACACCTGGCTCCCCTAGGCACACCTGAGTAATTATACCATATTGAAATCTTCCACCACTTGTGTTGTGTAATAATTTTATTAAAATGGGTGCTAATGTGTGCTATTAGAGACAGCATGTATTCTGTTTTTTATGTTATATTTAGAACTACTTTTTAACTATACAGACCACCACACAAGAGTAAGGAGAGATGAGTTCATGTTTCCTGGTCTTAAAAAACCTCCCGACTTTTCTGAATTTGGCCTTTGCACCCCACCCATCTATATTTGTTTTGCTAAGTTTAGCCACAAGTGTCCAGAGATGGACAGAAGAGGTTAAAAAAGGCCCTCCTGCCAGATGCAATGGTTCAAGAGTACCATTATGGTAAATACAGCCCTGGAAGTAAGGTGCTCCCTAGCCGTTCATACACACCCTCCAGAGTGCGCACAGCACAGCGTTATGTGACTGTCACAGGGGATCACAAATCAGGGGTAGAGGGCAATACAATTGGCCCTGTATCATGTGATTGCTGCATCCAATCACAGCAATCACAGTTGTAAATAAAGGCTGCATACCTGAATCCAATGTTTCCCTTCACTGAGAAACGGATTGTTGTAGCTAATGAGACTTTTGTATTATTCAGTGTGGAGAAAAAACTACTGGGCGTTGTATCTGATCACCGCTATAGTGACTCTGCACTTGCTCTGGTGACTCTGGTGACTCAGCGTCATCCGAGCCGCTAGCCATTGTACATGGTTACCTTCTCAGCTGTACAATATCACCAGACCATTGCAGCCAATCACAGTGTCCTCAGTTGTCACCACACCAGTCCCAGTGTGCTTTCTGAAAAGTGATCTGTGTTCAGAATGCTCTCCAGAGAGCATTTGATAGGTGGTAAACAGGCATTGTATCTCCTCTTCACCACCTGCTTTATTTAACCTCCTTTGACCCTGCACAAGCGCACTGACATCTCATAGAAGCATATGGGTTATTTCAACCAAAGACTCGTATGCATCATACTTGGATTGTGACATCCTCACAAATCTTACAAAGGAGAATCACTTAAATTGTACAAGTAAATATATAGATTTAATACACAACCATTTCTTGTCCCTCAAAACAGAGTGGAACACTAAGTGACACTTTAACACAGCAGTAGACGATCCATAATTAGATCAACTTAGGCCAGGCCCAGTGTAGCTAGCCATAGTACCCAGAATTTATAAAATTTACCATAGCACCCTCTGTGTTGATATATTTATTTTTCAAGAAGTAGGGTGTCACCCATCTGGAATACCCATTCTTTCAATGTAGGGGGATTGGTCAACTTAATTTACGAGCCTGGAAAAGCGCCCTAGCTATGGCTTGTTTAGGTATACTCTCAGCAGGAATATCACAAAGAATACCTAATAAGCATTGTTTGGTGTCTTCGCATACACTATATTGTCAAAAGTATTGTGATACCCATTCAAACCATTGGATTCAGACGTTCCAATCATCTCCATGACCACAAGTGTGTAAAATCAAGCATCTAGGCATACTGACTGCTTTTACAAACAGTGAAAGAATGTGTCGCTCTCAGGTGCTCAGTAAATTCAAGTGTGGTACTGTGATAGATTGCCACCTGTGCAATTAGTCCATCCGTGAAATTTCCTTACTACTAAATATTCCACGGTCAACTGTTAGTGGTATTGTAATAAAGTGGAAGCAACTGGGAACAACAGCAACTCAGCCATGAAGTGGCAGGCCACATAAAATTACAGAGCAGGGTCAGCGCATGCTGAAGTGCACAGTGCAGAGAAGTCACCAACTGTCTGCAGAGCCAATAGCTAAAGATGTCCAAACTTTGTGTGGCCTTCAGATCAACAGTGTGTAGAGAGCTTCATGGAATGGGTTTCCATGGCCAAGCAGCTGCATCCAAGCTTTACATTATGTGCAATGCGAAACGGATGTAAAGCACGCTGCCACTGAACTCTAGCACAGTGGAGACATATTCTCTGGAGTGACGAATTATGCTGTCTGGCAATCCGATGGATGTGTCTGTTTTGGCTGTTTCCAGGAGAACGGTACTTGCCTGACTGCATTGTGCCAAGCTTAAAGTTTGGTGGAAGGAGGATTATGGTGTGGGGTTGTTTTTTCAGGGATTGGGCTTAGCCTCTTAGTTCCAGTGAAGGGAACTCTTAAAGCGTCAGCATACCAAGGCATTTTGAACAATTTCATGCTCTCAAATTTGTGGGAGCAGAATGGGGATAACCTATTCCTGTTCCAACATGACTGCACACCAGTGCACAAAGCAAGGTCCATAAAAACATGAATGAGCAAGTTTGAGGTGGAGGAACTTGACAGGCCTGCACAGTCCTGACCCCAACCCAATAGAACACCTTTGGGGTAAATTAAAGCGGAGACTGCGAGCCAGGCCTTCTTGTCTGACATCAGTGCCCAACCTAACAAATGCACTTCTGGAAGGATAGTCAAACATTCCCATAGACACACTCCTAAACCTTTTGTACAGTCTTCCCAGAAGAGCCAAAGCTGTTATAGCTGCAAAGAGTTGGCCAACCTAATATTGAACCCTACAGCGTAAGACTGGGATGCCATTAAAGTTCATGTGTGTGTAAAGGGAGATGTCCCAATAAGTTTGTCAATATAGTGTATATGGACCTGGAAAACCTGGTTAATAGTAAGGCAGTCAGTAAATTTAGATGCATAATTTACGCCCCTAGAGTGCAAGAAGGTGCTACTTGGATTTTGGGGCCCCTTTATGTGACCAGGCTGTGATATAGTATTACACATGTGGTATAAAAAGAGACAGACATTTTCAAAGGACTCCACTATGCCTTTCAAAAAATACATTGGGGTGTTTGCTTTCCAAAATGAGGTAATTTTGTGGGCGTTTCTCTTGTTCTGGCACTTCAGGGACTCAAGAAATGTTGGTAGGTAGTCGAGAAATTTAGATGCATAATTTATGCTCCTTGGAAGCCCAAAGGTTCGCCTTGGATTTTGGGCTCCTTTATGCATCTAAGCTGTGAAAGTCTCACAAATTTGGTATCCACATACTCAGGAGGGGTAGCAGAATGTGTTTTTGGGATGTAATTGTGGTATCCACATACTCAGGAGGAGTAGCAGAATGTGTTTTTGGGATGTAATTGTAAATATGCATATGCTATGTGTGAGAAATAACTTGTTAAAATGAGAAATGTAGTTGATTTTTTCATTTTCAAAAAACTATCCATGCTCTTACTGAATGCCTTGGACTGTCTACTTTCCAAAAAGGGGTCATGTTTGGGGGCTATATGTACAGCCCTGGCATTTCAGGGCCACAAGAAATGAGAGAGGCAGTCAGTACATCAGGACTGATCAATTTTCAAATACAATGTACAGTGTATACCAGAATTTGTATACTCTATAACTTTCACACTAATATTGATTTGAGTTGTTTCAACTAAAGAAATGTAGCAGAATATATTTGGCCTAAATTTATGAAGAAAGATTATTTATTTGCAACGTTTTAGAACAGAAATTAAATTTTTTTTTTTCCAGTATTTTTTTTTTTGTTTATATGGTAACAAATAAAAAAACCCCATAGGTGATTGAATGCCACCAAAAAAAACTGTGTCAAAAAAGATATGAAATTCATTTTGGGTGCAGTGTTGCATGAATTGAGTAATTGTCATTCAAACTGTGACAGTGCTGAAAGCTTAGAAAATGGACTGGACTGGAAGGGGGTGAAACAGTCCACACTTGAAGTGGTTAATATAGGGAAGGCCCAATACTACATTAAACATAACATGTTTTTTCACCCAGTGGTTTAAGAAAATAAACCATGCTTGCTACAGTGATCTTAACTATCAATAGTGGTTTAATCAAAAACTTCCCCCCAAAAAAAGCTTTCCATTTTTTTTTGCAAAGTAATGTCTGTTGCACTTCTTCTTGTTTGCACACAATTTTTTTTTTGCTGGAATCTTATTGTAACTTTTCTTTCAGTAAAAATGTGTATTTAATTTGGTGTATCCTAGAGCTGTAGCACCTGAATTATATCTGCTTTTATTGTTACTATCCTAGAATAAATTTAAAATGCTTGTGCAAGGGTTAATTTGGAGAATTCTCCTGATTAACTTGTGAGATGGTACATGTATATACAGTATTAAGTTTTTAGATGTGGAGCAGATGCCTTTTCTGTATTTTAAGTTGTGTTAAGTTAGTCCTAATTTGTTAACACAGATATAACCTTGCATGTTTCCTTGGGAGAAACAAATGTGTGCATTACAATATATAACCTGCTTTCATCTTTGCTCTCTAATCTTGGTGTGTGGTTCCACTACACCTGACCATCATGTATTAGATGCACTTCAAATTAGTGGAAATTGATTATCTGTAATTTAAACTTGTGAGAGGTGAGCCAGAACCCTCTCCACCCTGTATGTATCTGAACATGTAAGTATAGCAAGCAGCAACTGTTGTTCCAAGAGCAGTAATGAAGTATGAATTCAGGTACCAAGAAGACATCATTTTCAGTCATTAGGGCTCTGTTGGTTTTTATCAGAGCATGAACAGAAAAAGGTTATTCTTAATGTAACTTAGCCCCAGGAGCCCCATCTGTCATAGTAAAGAGCAGCTGTTATACGGAGTGTGCTTGTTTTGTCATGGAGGGCAGATGATGCAGAAGATGGTATTGCCAGATCATGAATGACAGAGATATACAAAGGTTACAGTGTAAATGAATAACTTCTATGCTCTTTTTAAGTTGTTTAAAGGAAACAGAAAAGCTGTTTTCAAAAATTGCATGTTTACGTTCTCCTCTAGGGTTTTGAAGACAAGTAAAAGGGAAGAGTGCTTTTAATAGAAAGTTTTTTT